AAAGAAATATTATAATTTATAAAAATACAAAATGAGTTCTTCAAACTAAATAATTAAGTATAAAAAAATCTCAGGTCACATAAAGTTATATTTCAAGAGTTAAAGAAGAAGAGAAAAGAAATGTAAAGAAATGAGAAAAACAAAAATAAAATTAAATAAAGCGTTAACGTAACTCAAGAAATCAGAAACTCAAGAATGTTCAATATAAATTATTCATGTGATGTTTAATACATTTCTGATTAGTTTGCAAAAATTCTAATTATGTTACATAAAGTAATCATTTTATCTTTACAGCGTGCAAAAATAATGAACTATTTTTTTAGATAAAAGAAGATGTCGCATTATTTTATATAAATTGTGAATATATGTCATGAGATTTTTTTATTACAATATAAAGTAATGACCAATCAATTGCGATAAATTGCTTATCAATTTTAGCACATGATCGTCAACATAATTATCAATCATTTATTTTGTTGATAGTAAAAATTAAAATTTGCAAACGGGAAGATATTTATTTTAAATGAAAAAAACTCATTTAAATTACAAATATTATAAAATTATAAATTTTACAAAATTAATAATGTCAGCATATACATTAATCGAAGCCAAGAAGAGTGCATCGTCACAAATGCGTTTGATCGCCTATCTAACTTGTACATATCTGACACTTACTGCAATCATGTCGCGTGCTCTACCATATGACCCGACCCCACTGGTACAAACAGAAAAGGCCAAACGATAAATTGTTGCTGGTGACATACTCGTATCCCATTTTGCTGCTTTTACAAGGAGCAGAAAAAATTGCATCATTTTGGTGTCATTAATTTTTGTTTCAATGTGAATTACAAAATTATTGATCAATACCAGAATAACGCGGAATTTATTTGAAAAAAAAAGAATATTTATAAAATATCTTTTAAATATTTTCTTAAATATTTTTAAATAATCTTTTAAATATTTATTTTTGTTTTTCCATTAGAAACATAAAAAATTGAATTTTACCATAACAATACAGTATTATAATTATCTTGTTTAATCGACTGTTACGCATTATATTATATTATAAATGTCCATGAAAGAATATCTAAAAATGCAGCAATATAAATATTTTGAAAAAAATATATATTATTGCGTCAATACATTTTAATTCATATTATTATTCAAAATGTCTATTATATAATATTTATCTAATTATTTACGATTAAGTAAATTGGATAGTCCGATCTAATTATTAGTTTGATGAGAAATTTCTTCTTTTCATCTTACTCTTTTATAAATAATCATCTTACTATTTTATAGATTCTATAAAAGAGTAAGATGAAAAGAAAATCACTTCGAACACGTGACGATGCATCTCGATAAAGTGCAACGCGCCGTAAATAGAGATGTAACGAGGTATGTCGAATCGGGAATTAAGAGACCGTGAGTTAAAGTCTATTCATTCCGCGGTCTCTTCGAGAACGATAAAAATATCACGGCCAAATATATCACGCTCGAACACGCGACGATGTTCCTGAAGAGGAAAATGCAACACGCTTGCCGCGAGTCATCAAATCGATGAATAGATGTGCAACGAGGCATGTCGAAGATTTATTGGCTGCAAACGCGATAATGAAGGCATTGACAATATGAAGGCATTGTTAGTGAATCTGGATCATTGATTATTGATCGATAGAATTGTATAAAAATCTGATTATTTAAAACGATAGCTTTAGCTAATTTTTAAGATAAAATTTTAATTTAATTTCTTTATGGTAATGTACAAATCTATTAATATTTATTTCGCGTGAAAGTAATTGTAATTTTGATTATTGATTCTATAAAATATTATAGCAAATAGAATAATATTATCATTATTTTTCTTAATATTATACTCTACATAAATACACTACTTGTTAATTAATATAATAATACTCACTTATATAGAAATAAAAGTGACTGTATAATTATCATCAAATCAAATTTTTATTTTATTTTATTTTTTTGTTTATTATATATACATATATATATATATATATATATATATATATATATAATTTACTATTACATTATATGTTTAATAAATAATTAATAGATAGTTGTGTCTGTTAACAAAAATACGCAAATGAATCACTAGCTTATCGTATTATTCAACAATTTGATGATATATATTGTTGATATTGCAATGACATCGGAAAATTACAGCAAAGTGATAATATGACTTGTAGTAAGAAATGATAAGATTTTTTTGTGTAATTTGTTAGACCAAACAATCTGTCTTTGCTACATCAATGACAGACGAAACAAAATGCGAATGATACTCTCTCCAATAATCTCGACTTTTACTTACTATGTACGTGTATGTGTACTTATATAACAAACGATTTCATAAAAATGTATAGTATTTATGTTTTTATAATATCTTTTTTCTGTATAATTCTATCATTTTATAAAATTTGTTATCGTAATTGTTAACGTTTAATTAAATCCTTTCTTTAATTCAGTTTTAATTCTTTATTTCTGATAAATATTTTTTGGCTTGGAGAGAGATCCTTATTCTAGATATAATTAATCTAGTTTTCCCGACTTGAAATAAGATTTTTTTTTTACTTACATTGCTTAATAGTTATTAATTACCGGTTTCCTCCTTTAAATTTTTATTAAGCCGCAATAATAAAAATAATCGCGAGTATCTAAACGTGCTTAATCTTACAAGCAAACAGAAAATGATCATTAGATCCGTGTGCCAATTATTGAATTAAGCCTCATTGAATCTCTTCACACATGATAAACCCACATAGTAAACTGATATCCTAAGCTAACTTTGTAGCTCTTATCTCGATTACTTTTTATATTAAGCAATCTGATATTATTGTTTCTTTTGCACTTTCCTGAGAGAAATGAATCCTCTCAGGATGTTCCATAGTACACGATTTCGCTTTGGCGAGCAATATTCGCAAACTGATATTGTATACATCTATTATCTGTTCATTAACGAGGAACGTAATGACATTACATTACTCCATATTTCTAGCACTGGAAATTAAACTTTTCGATATTGTCCGATTCTGGTCCAGGAGAGAACCATGCAACCTTTGAGGCATCTCGCATTGTAATCGATATGCGTTCTCTCGGCGCGCGAGCGCAATTTAGGAGGTGACTTTGCGCTGAAACCTGAAACGTCCGCGCTATTCATGGTCCGCCGATTCTCAAACGGCGCGGACGCTCTGCCGTTCGGTTCCGGTCTGGTACATACAAACTGTGGTACATATACTATGCGCTTCGTCTCGAGCCCGGCTCGCCCGCGGAACCGGTCTTCAGAAAAGGAAGAGCGACAACGCGAGGATCGCCGGTTCGCCGCGCTCGAAACTCGTAATTCTACTCCGCGAGTAACATGATTACACGTGTATTCTACGGCGAGTACACGCGGCCGTCGTGTCGCATACAAAAAAGTATATCAGAGGCAAAATTGTGCGTAGAACGACGGCCGCGAGGCTATAATAAGCTCTAGCATAATTAACTCTTTCTTACCCTTGATTAGATTTGAATTTATATGCAGAATTAAAGCAATAAATTGCAACAAATTGCGTAGATTACGACAGCCTTACGTACGGCGAAGTAAAGCTGCTATGTTTCTCTCTGTAACATAATTAAAATACGAAAGAGGATAGATGTTATCTATTCGAGAAATTATGGAAGATACATGTTCGAAATTTTAGCGAAGATAATTTTTATCTCACATTGTGTAATTATTTCTTTATTATTTCTTTACTATGCTGTCTTAATGATTGATGTGGAGTTGTATATTTGAAGAAAACTGTTAATATGTAATTATAATAATTGTGACAAATGATGGCTCCGATTAAATTTTCGCTAAAGGACAAATTTTCTTAAATTATGTAAAATTATTATTATATATCTTATCACGTTTCATTTTATTTAAAGCTCATATTAATAAGATATATAATAAATCTTATTCATATATTTCTGAATTGATAGATTTAACCACTTATTTTGGCCTCAATTTACAACCAGATTATCACATCATATTTTGAAAGAAAAATGTATACACATAACTTAAGATAAAATATTTTAATGCATATTTATGTGATAAATGATTGATATTGTAGCTGATATGATAGATAATGATCGATAATTCCTCGAAATATATAAATACAAAAATTATGCGTATATCACGATTTAAAATCTTATAAAAGTATTTGGTGACTGTGTTATTATCGACACGGAAAATACGATTAGCAAATCGGTCGATGTATAAATATCTGTTTCATCGACAACTAATTGGCATTCGATCAATATAACAATCAAATATTTTTAAAATATACGGATCCACGTGACTTAGGAGTGATCCGAACGGTTGACGAAATCTCTGGCAGTCTCGAGAAGCGACAATCCTGACAGTTTTGCTTCTGCCGTTATATCGTAGCGGGATACTCGATGTCGCCCACGACGACGTGGAGAAATTAATATTAACGGCATCTTGGCGCCAATAAATTTCAAACGCCAAAGTGACTTTACGAGTAGTATAATTCCAGTCTCGTTCGATTTCTCGCGAGTAATATTTAGCGATTACTTCTGTCATTATAATTCTAGCCGTGGTGGAATAATTAGAAAGTGGGCAAAAGAACATGTCATCGACTAAAATTGTACGTTATTATTTCCATTACAAGATATTTCGAAAGATATAGGAGGAATTATATAAAATAATTTAGAAAATAGAATTATAAAGTCTAATTTTATATAGCACTTTTATAATTCACTTTTATATAAGTATATATATGTGTGTGTGTGTGTGTGTGTGTGTGTATGTGTGTGTGTGTGTGTGTATTTCTTTATTATATAATAATTCGAAAACATCAAATTTTTAAATATAGAGAGAAATCTTTCCAGAGAGATTTTTAAAATTCCCATGATTTTTACAAATGATATACATGATGCGTACAAAATTCGTGAAATCATTGCAATCTTTTTAACAATGTTTTCTTTTTCAATTTCAGATCTAAATGTGTTCCATAGCGATGCCAGCCGAACTGCTTCTGGGGCACAGCCCTCCAGTGTACAGTTCTTTACTGTACAGTCCCCTGGTGGTCACGGCACCCCCGATCACTAGCAGAACGGTGCCCCCCAGAATCAGACCATGCCTCTCTTCAGGATCTTTGCCTCTGGACACATTGCGAAACGATGGCAATGGCAAACAGAAGAAACGGGTGGTGTTTGCCGACGATCGCGGTCGTCCTCTCACACAGGTATTCACACTAAAATCAATATTTAAATTAATTAGACGGAATTGATCTTCTTATGTAATAGATTGAATTTTGTTATTTTTATATTTACATATTTAATATCCAGAGATTCGTTTCTCCTCAAATTTCTAAGTAAAAAAAAAAAACAAAGAAAATTCTTTTTAATGCATAACTCGTACATCTTGTATCATGAATCAATGTTGTACTTTTCATTAAAGCACTAGTTAGTGAAATAAATAATAATGCGTTAATATCTTGCTTTAAGATCTACATAAATCATGTGTTTGACGTGTGCGTTAGCATCTGCTATTTAATCATTTAACCTATGTTACATGAATAGTAAAAATGTAAATTGGATTTATGTCAAAAGTAAGTGCCAAGAATCACTTTATTTGATTCGTCTTACTATGCCAAAATATTAATAGTATTACCTTGTGGTTATTGTCAAAATTAAACTTTGTGGAATTTTTTGCTTAAAATTCAATTCACTCCACTAATATAATGCACTAATATAATGCAACTTTAAAACTTTTTAATTGATATAAAAAATGTTTTTTAAATTAAATATTCTTCAAATGTTCAAGTTTTATATTCATTGCTCGCGAAATAAGTAAATTTAAAAAACATAAAGAAAATAAATATAAAAATTAATTGAGGACATTTTTATGCAAACATAGCTGTAAGAATAATTTTTAAAAATTATTTATTTCTCTATGATTTTGGTGTTAAAATATTTTGTTTATTGATTGCTCTCAAAATATCTCAAAAAAGAAAATTCCAAATTTATTATTCGATTTATTATTTAATCTAAATAATTCGATATATTCGATATATTTGGTTCGATATATTTATCTAAAACTAAAGAATATATTAAAACGTAATATTTCTTATAATACATTTAAAAGATTTAAGATCGAAACTAGCAGATAAGAAATTTCCGTGTTCTAATTGGCTATGCGTTCAATGGAATTTTTACCCGCATTTTCTAATAGTTTAACGGCTTAAAATTCCTATTTAGGCTACGTTCCGAAATGTACTTTCTGAAAAAAATTTTATTCATTGGCCGTTCCGAACTTTTCCGATCCGCTTCGATTTCTGATTGGTTCCGATCCATTACTCGAGCGTGTTCCAAAACTGAGAGAAAATGTTCGTGTTTCTTCCATTCGTGTAAAATTTTCATCTACATTTTATGCGAATAAACGTTCTCTCCTTCAATTGTGCGAGAAAGAAAGAGATCCGAGATCGCTCTCTCCTTTTAATGTTAAGGCAGTCTTTATAGGAAAATGCGCAATCTATTTCTTTAAGTCTATGAGTAAATAACAAAGAAAAAAAAATGACGAAAAAAACGAAAGTGCAAATTGAAGATTTAATAAAAATTGAAAACTTCATCGCTCCATTTTAAATTCAGCCGCTTTTGGAAAGAAAAGAAGAGTTAATAGATTTTTCTTTTAATTACATCAAGTGTGTTCCAAAATTGGATTATTTTTCATGCAGCTTCGACTATTGTCTTTCATTTACCTTCCTTAGCAACAGTTTTGGAACGCCTTAATTATTTTTTTACCTAGCCTTAATTATTTCTTTTCCGAGCCTTGCCCTTTTACTATCAGTTCTTGTTCGACTTTGATAGAGGGAAGTTGATATTTTGAAAGACTCGAATACGTGTATGTCTTTAAAAGTGAAATTTTTTTATACAATTAATATTTTTTTATATATTTTATCAATATGTTACCAGAGCACTTGAAAGAAAAGTTACGTAAATTTCGTAAATCTAAGGTACGCTATAATCTACAATATTACAATAAAACATATTATTTACACTCGTTTGAAAACTTATTTTACATTATCTTTTTATAACGTGAAAATTCTTGCTAATTAATGTACATTAATCATGGATTTGTGAAAAGATAATATATTAAATTTTAATTATAGAAAGCACGTGGTTACTCTACGTGGCTACTCCGTATGACATTTTATTTCAAATTAATATAATACAGACACAATTATTTTTATTAGTATAATTAATAATAAACTTGTTCGATTGCAAGCAAATAATTTTTTTATATAGTTCGTTTGTATTGACATAAAAAATCTTTTCAATTACAGTTAAATTCATTTTAGATGCAAAGAGAGAGATAGATAGATAGATAGATAGATAGATAGATAGATAGATAGATAGATAGATAGATAGATAGATAGAGAGAGAGAGAGAGAGAGAGAGAGAGAGAGAAAGAGAGAGAGAGAGAGAAAGCAAATTCTAAGTCATAGAGAGATAGAGAGAGAGAAAGCACATTCTTTCATTCTGTGTCATTTGAAATTATGAGTTATATCCGATAGAAACAGTGCATCCAATAATTTGTTCTCTTCTACTTTCTTTCTTCTATAAAAAATAAATTTTTTTCTTCTATCTTTCAATATTTCGTTCAATCTTTCGTGCAGATTCGCGTAATGTCAGAACCAAGCCACGTGCCACCACTGTGGAGCACGGCTTATGTGGCCGGCCTGACTGGAGGTCTACTCGGTTCGTCCAAGGATCAGAATCAGGATGCGACGCAAAACTCCACACCGCTCTGGCAAGTGACCTTCCCGCAACCGGCGAGTGACTATCTCGCCTTTCGACATAAGCTCGATCAGGATAACGTCAGCTTGGAGAATGTAATTGTGCGCGAATCCGAGCAATGCTTGGTAGGTACGGTAAAGGTCCGGAATCTGGCCTACGACAAGGAAGTCGTGGTGAGAGTCAGCAACGATTCCTGGGTCACTAACGAGGATGTGTACTGCACGTACGTAGAGCAACGAGGATCACCAGCTTCCCTCATACTCTACGACACCTTCCGATTCCGGCTCACTCTGCCAGTAGCGTCGAACGTTATCGAATTCTGTGTGCGATATCGCACCGACGGCAAGGAGTTTTGGGATAATAACGAAAGCAAGAACTACATAATTCGTAAGAAGCAAGAGGTAAATTAACATGTTTGTTTTTTCATAAATTATAATGTACGAAAGATTCTCTTGATTCTTTTTAATTCAAATGTATGTATGTATGTATGTATAATTTAATTTAAATTAATTTTAATTGAATTAAAATTTTTTAAATTATAAATATATATATATAATTTTTATAAAATACACAGAGAAAAAATTTCTCAATATTTATCAAATATATATTGACTGACTCATGACGTCACTTCTACTTGTAAGTCTAGTAATGATGCATGACTTCTTGCCATGACTGATAGACTTTTTTGATAAAAATTATTACGTGATTTTACTTACGAACATAAATATTAAAGGATCTTCGGTACCTTCATCAAATATTTACCAAGTAGAGGCGATTTATTGCCTTCCGAAGCTATTGAAGACTTAAAAGTCCTCAGGAATATGTTTATTCGAATGTCAACGTTTTTGAATATTCGCTGTTGAAATTATTTTTATTATTTCTTAAAAAAGTCAAATAAATATATTACGTGAAAAAAAATTTTTTTTTTTTTTATTATGTAAGTCAATATATTAAGTAAATTTCAAAAGAATCCAAGAGATATTTTTCGATGCAAGCACATACCAAAGGATTGAGACACGTCATACACTTCAGCCCCGGGTAGCAGCTAAATGGCATGACAACATCCAGACGACGACTTGCGAAGGGATTTCCGGTAACAACGAAAACGGCAACGTGATGCCGCGCAACACGGAAGTCACCAGGCTCAACATGCGCACCTGGAGCGAATTCGCGTCCTGGCAGCACCTGGCCAACGACGCACCCTACTGGTGAATCCACCGACGAGGAAGCTGTGCCTCTTCGTCTCGATAAGGATCAAGCTGTACGAACTACTCCAGTTTCTTCACCGGCAGTTTTGCCAAGACGAGACATCAAACGGGACCATAAGCCATAGGCATCTCATGGAACGCGAGTCATCTTAGAGATGAGGGAGAACAACGAGAGAGGAGATCATCGCTGCGCGACGATTCGAATTGAGAACGAGGGAAACAAGAGCGCGCGTGCGGGAGAAAAACAATCGGGGGATGATAACAAACAGCGGAGCGGACGCAACGTCGAGCTCCCCGGATAACGCAATCTATACGGTAAACCCTGATTTTACTCTTATCTCTTTTTCGCATAAAAATACTTTGCCAAGTTTAATAAAGCTTATTTTTTCATGACGGATGAGAAAGCTTATGCAGTCAATTGTTATGCCATGAATTAATTAATTTGCATATTTTGAGTAATTATTGTGAACATAATCTTTTTACAATTAGGATAATAATTTTATTTTTACCGACAAAAAATACCTGACAATATTTTTGTTTAATTTTCCTGAAATTTGACTAATTTACACGATCATTTTATATATTTCGCTTTAAATAGATGGATACTAATAGATACATGAAAAAATTCATTTCGGAAATGGAAATTTTTAATCTGACAAACATATCAAAATTGTATGGGTTTACAAATTTGATCAATGATTTTCGTACATTGCAATGCTTTTTGTCTTAAACCAAAGTCTTATTATTTCTCCTTTTGTATGCTTGAAACATGTATTATGAGCTAGTCCTTGCACGTAATGTGAAATAAAAAGAATAAGCGAGAGTCAGAGACTCGTTCGGCTCTGCTGGTTGATAAATGCTAAGAGATTGTAGAATCTGTAGTCATATATCAACAGATTATACTCGAATTTTCAATGCAACAGACATTGCAACAACATTTATATACTGCTTTTTAAAGGATAATATTTGATTATAATATTTGAATTTGATAAAGCATTGTTTGCGAAAATATTACAAGAGTCAAATCTAACAAGCATCGAAAATAATTCCAATATGAAAGAGCGTAATAAATAATATATTTAGAAAAAAACTTTAAAAAATATCGATAATAAAGATAATGACTCATATTAAAACATTAGGTAATGTAACATTTTGAATTTAATGAAGTTTTTATTTAATTCATAAAACATATTTAATTTTTTTGTTTTTTGCAAAGAGACTTTTCTTGGATAGAAGCTTCAAAATTTAAAAGCTTACAATCTTTTTCCTATGCTATTTATTTTTTTAAACATAAGAAGTACGGACAATTGTTACTCAACACGTGACAAAAATTTTTCCAACTCGAGATTGGAATTTATTTTCGGCCTAAAGTAAAGTTCGTGACGCGCACATTACGCATATGCAAATTTCCAGATGGGTCGATTTACCGTTCTAGGCTGATAAGAAAAATATTAGTTTATAAAGATAAAAATTATATAAGTATATTTTTTATATTTTTTATATTTTTTAATAAAAATTAATTTTTATAAAGGTGAAAATTAAATAGTAACTCGATCCATCTGAAAACTTGCGTATTCATAATTTACGCGTTACAAGCTTTATTTTAAATAAAAAATGAAGTACCATCTCGAGTTGAAAAATTTGAGGCAACAGTCCTTATGGACGCTTGTTCGCATTCTTCAAGAAGAAAGATATGTTATATAATTCAGACTCAACAATGTGTAAAGTTCAAAGCTTGCAACTGGATTTCCTATGCCTTCACTTCTAAGAGATACATGTCATCTATTTGCGCTTTCTCTTTGCACGCAGACGGAATAGTACCATGCTCGCGGGAGCTATTATTAACCAACAAGTGCAACGTGCTTCCTTGAGGGTGGCTGCAAAAGCTCAAACGTTCTCTATTTTGCTATTTATCCGTTTCGGCGATTCGCAATCGCAATTACGAGGCCTGGGACGTCCATAGATATTACGTTTGCAAGTTTTACGAATGTCTTTTTTAGCTGTGCGAGTCGCAGATATGCTCACCGCTCCATGTTTGAAACTTTCTCTCTATAAATAACAGCCGACCGCCGACATCGTCGTGTATGAGACGCGATAACAGACCCGACACGACCGACAAGGAGTCGCGCGACTCTAATTAAATCGCCTTAACTAAAGGTTGTTACCACGCAATATGTGTGACGTACCGATTTCATGGCGCGCTCGGTCACGATATATCCTCTTTTCTTTCTCTCTCCCTCTCTATCTGTTTTATTTTCTCGTTTTTTTCTCTCTTTTGTCATGTTACACATGATAAAAGGGATGTAACAAATAATGGAAGGATTATATCGAACGAGCCTTTTTTTGAAACCAATTAAGAAGGAGGCGCTATTCGTGTGAATTGATGATTGCGAATAAAATTTGGCACTTCTTATAAATTCGAATAAATTTTGATTTTATAGAATTTGAATCTCAAACTCTTCTCTTAATTATCGAGATATTTGATATTGAAAATAAATGAAAATTGAAGTGATACAAAAGGGGAGATCCTTTTGCCTTAATTTGAATCAGTTTAAATAGATACATTATTCGAGAGAAATTCAAGTTGTATGGATAAATCTAATGAGTAAGCGAAATATTAATCTCCCTTCGATAAATGTTATATAAATAACACTGAAATCACGAGTGAATGAAGGGGGAGTCCGTCTCCCATGTGATATCACCAAAGTGATAACTTTACTCCTTTTTCTGGACATAATGTATATTTCTCACATATTCATTCATCATTCTGTCAAGCGAGTTTCCCGAAGTTTCTTCTCTTCTCCCTAATACCGATAGTAATGACTTTGCTGCATTTCCCATTTAAATTCAGCGTTAACCATATTCCACTTTGCTATGCAAATGTGAGAAACGTCACTACTCATAGGTCATGGAGATCTCGTAAACATTCGAAGCTTGACGGCAATATCTGATGGCAAGGTCTTGAGGAATATTTTCAGGGCCAAAAGAATATAAAGTGGTCCTTGACACACTGCCAAGCACATCCTATGCGCTATTATAAGTATAACGAACGAAACGGTTCTTTACAAGCGCAAGACCTTCTCGACACTGATCTGTCTAGTTTGAAAATTTCAATAAAACGAGCAAAGCCAAGACAAATTCGCGCTCAGTTTGACTCGTTCGACAACATCGTTCATTCGAGAGTTTGCGAAACTCGACCCTGGTGCTAACGCGTTAACCTACTTTGTGCGATGTCGCTAAAATCAGTCTATATTTACCAACACAACGCTCTTTCCCGTGATGTCATTTGGCAACGAATGGAACAGGTGGCTTTAATGCCCGCGTTTTTAGACATCGCGACGGGAGAGCTACAAGCCGCAACAAATCACTGACGATGTGCATTGGTTGCAATTGTAGAAAATTGCTCGCGCAATTTGTTGATTTGTGAACTTGCAATATTTCACGACTGAGATATTTCCGATTTGATGAATAATTTAAACTTTGTGTTCTCAAGATTCTCATGTTTTCAATAACGCTTAATCTATTAACACGCGATACTTTTTTTTAATAAAATTATAATTTTATTGAGCATTTTTATACATTTTTTATAGATAATAAATACGTGAAAGAAAAAATTTATAAGCATATATAAATTTAATATTAAAAATATAAAATATATTTTGAATTATTACTAATTATTATGTATATTTTCATTGAAATGCTAAAAAAATTATATTTTATATTTTTTCATGATTTTTATTATGGCTCATTATTGCTTTATACAGAAAAAAATTTAATATCTTTATATCTTGTGTCGAACACGATCGACACAAAGTTGATTTACACGAAGTATTTAACGATTTAAGTGAATGCGTTATCAATGTAGAATTATGAGATGTTTTAAAATTAAAATGCCCTGTTCACCTCCATAAAATGGTTCACCTTGTTCATCACGTATATCTATAGCGATACATACAGGATGCATCAAAATCTACATTTTTTCTTCGTTCTTCAACAAAATTGGACAAAAATTCGGAATTTTAAATTTTTACTAAGCGGAAAATTTTGTTAATTAATAATACGATATTAATACTAATTAATATGAGATTAAAATATTTTATTCATTACATTATTTATATTATTATTTATATTTATATATATTATTTATATTTTTTGCTAATATATATTATCAAAATTATGTTTGTCAATTTTCGTTAAAATATTATTGCGAATTATTTTTTCCTCAATGATATCGACGTAATACAAAGTATCTACATTTGCAGAGATTATATACAGTAGTATCAGAGTATCCTGCGTTATTTATTGATGATAGATATTAAATGAACGACCTTTCAACTTTAAGATACTCGATCTAAAAATTATCACCCTGTTTAAAGAATTTTTATACATGATGCAATTTTGCATGAAATAATTAAATCTCTACATTTTGCTTTCAAGTAACAACATGATCCGATAAATATAAATTGAAATATAATTCTCGGTAATTCCCAGTATCACTCGAGTTGCATACGCACGATAAGAGACTGCAGGAGTTACTTTAATCCTCAAAGTGCATCAGAGAATTGAACTCTCGAGTGTCTTTATCTATGCGTCTCTCGACATTGAAACACTTCAGCAACGGTCGATATCTTTGCACGGAGAAAATGTGCACGACTTCTGAGATATCCTGTAGACATTATGTTTGAAACGCGGTTGGTGAGAAGTGGTGGTGCAGGATCATATATACGCACCGCGGTCATGCCGCGTGGTACCACGCCTTGTGAACACAGTAAAAGAGAGAGAGAGAGAGAGAGAGAACGAAAAAGAACAGAGAAAGAATTTTAAGACGTCTAGACGCGTGGGACGGACCGGAGTAATCTCAACTCTCATTGCTTGCTTACTTGTTCGCTTATTCGCGATGTTTGCACACGTTTGTACATACATACGTGCACGAGACGCACATTCCGATTCCGGTAAAGTTTTCGTTATTGTTAACCGCTGTTAGAAATCACATCTGCTGCGAAATGGCAGAATACGGCAATACTTCAACGTATTTCAATCCCGTCGTCAAAAATTAGCCGAGAGCATGGAGTACTTTTAATAAATTGAACTTGAATCAGTCTCTCTGTAACAAATTAATCCTTTTTTAATGGTTATGTTACTTTATTATATAATTTTATTTCAACATGTATCATAAATTATATAGAAAGATATAGATTTTGATATTAAAAAAAAAATCAAATAAATGTCCCTAACAGCACACATGTCCAAAAGATGTCCAAAGGACATCCATAGAATATCCCGATCTCCTATGGATATCCTATGGATATCCTTTGAATATCTTTCGGACATGTGTGCTGTTAGGGGTGTTTTACCTTCTATAAAATGATTTATGCACGTTCATTATGCATGCAAATCTATTTGTGGGGAAATAGTGTGTCAAAATCTAGATTTTTAAAAAATTATATGATGTGTGTGGTTATTAATCAAATTTCAAAATTTCTTACAATTTAGTGTAATAATATACTGTGCGTTTTAATTTATAAATTAAAACGGCGTAAAAATTCACCGAACTCTTAAATTTTTTTTTATGGATATTATCTTTTCTCTATATATATATAACATATATACTTAATTTTGTTGGAATTATTCAACAAAGCACTATACTTTTCGGCCTATTTATATAAATGAAATTTGAATGGAATAAAATGATTTATTGTATTTTGCATTTTTGTCTTTCTAGATCCCAGCATCCACATCATCATACAACCGGATCATCAAGGTCATCCTACGTCCGTCTCCAGCGCGCCAGTTCATCGGCACGAACATCGTCGTCGCACATTATCTTCTCGAACGTCCTCTTCTTCTTCCTCTACTTCCTCATTCCTGAGATTTTCGATCCGCCTACGGATTCAAGATAGTCGGTCGCGGTTGAGCTTCCAGATCGAATCGATCAAATCTTGCTGGTTTCGTCATGTCAGCCAATATTATAATCCTGTAAGTTATCTCCACTTTTTCCCTTGTATATATTTTTTTCTCTCTATCTCTCTTCATCTCTGGCGCCCTTAACACGATCCTTTCTGCGGAATACAGATCCTCCACCAGCTGTGTCCATTATTTTATGAGTATAACGGGATATGTTTCATGAGATCTCAGTAAAGGTAAAACAGTTGCAAGATTACAAATGCGATATGCCTTGGTATGGTATAAATTATATAGACATTTGTTTCGTGACGCCAATATGTGCAGCTCATCATCCAGACACATGAATATCTAAAAGATGGTCTAAGTGTGTTTGTATCAGAAGTGTTTTAGGCCTCGTCTGGGTTATTATCATATAGAATGCTTTTCATTTAGCGGCATAAATCCACACAAGCGTCATTCTATTTTTGTTATTCACTGGATGTTGAAAAAAGACAGAGTGCTTGTGTCAACTCGTGTCGCTAAGCACCCATTCTTGAGTGATGTTACATTGCACCAACATTTCATTAAATGTTAAAGAATTATACTATTAGCAATTACAAGAAGTTTTTTGCGATCGCGAAGAAGCGTAGCTTGCGTTCGCAGTCGATGTTAATATCAGCGAAAAGCGATGAAACAATAATCATCAACAGCAATTTTTATTCTACTATCATTTTATTCTCTAACTGGTGCTATCTCTGCCGTTTCCTTTACAATTCCTCTTTTCTTCTGTGTATTATTTCTCGCGAATAGAGGGTAAATTTAATTTCGCACGGTGAAGAAAGTTTCAGCAATCATTGTCACATTATTAAAATATCCGAATCGAGAAGGTTGAAATATACGATATATATTTTGTAAGATATTACACTACTAATCTCCTACCGCGCAATTATTTACTTCTTTCGGGGTTTTTATTTCTCACGGATTATTTTAAGACAGATTTATATTTTATATGTATGAATATATGATGTATGTACAGAATTATATATGTATACGTAGGTACATGTATATGCACATGTGCTACATGAGATCACATTACCCGCTCAATACTCGCACGAATCGACGCGTATTTAAGCAAAGGCTCAAGAATTAATAAGAAAACCGCGAACACAGAAACGCATCGACAAACCGTTCGATTATGTTACATGCGTACTAATGGACACTGAAACGCTACATAATACCGGTCATTAATTTGTAATCTACAATAAGTGTAATTCTTGATAAAAAGAAAACGATACATATATGAGCCGAATCTTCATATGTCAAATATTTTTTTTCTGATGTATATCTGAAGGATCGGTTCACTTTTCCTCGAGTATTTACAAATTAGTGCGATCAATGGCTTTGAAGTATCGTATAAAGATAACAGAGTGGAGCACGAATATTTGCGAACACACGATACCTTTGAACTGGCATTGAACTTTTCTATCGCCGATCAGTTCTTCAAGTTTCTTATCTGACAAGCTTCTGTATAAGAAATTGAGAGTTAAATCTTTAAAATCATTCTTGACTTTCTTCCGACATGCGCATTCAAAGTGCTGTCAAGCGCTTCAAAGTCTCTGCTTTTCTTCAAGCTTCTCGTTTGGTATATCTCTCTAGTGTACGCGACTGGCGCGTACGAAGATACAATGTATGTACACCTTGTTACTCTAATCAATCGCGTTATTAAATGAAAGTACTTGAATACTTAACAATTTGAGTTTTGCTTTTGGAAATGACAGAGCAGCCGAAGCGACAAAGACATGTCATTATCACTTTCGCGATGAGAGAGTACTTTGAATTGTAGAACCGCGTACCGGAAAAAGTATCGAGAGGATCGTGAGAAATGATTGTGAAAGCTCTAGCTAGTCATTCGGTTAGGCATCATTGTACGTCTTCTATATCGGGCTTTCATAGCAACATCGAACCTGCTTTCTCTGCTTATAGAGATTCTTCTAAGTGGATAACAAGAGTTTCACTCGCGCGTTACGCCTTCAGTGAGATAGCTTTTAACATCGAATCTTTCAATTTTTGTTGTATTAGCTTTCATTAGATTTATTATGTTCTTTTTAGGATCTATCGTGTAATTCAAAGCGAATATGAATGAAAGTGTAGATGATGAAGATATATAATGTTCTCTAATCTAAATTATTCTCTTTTAAATTTAATTGCTTTTCATTATATTAATTTGATACTGCAACACTATTTAATCAAGTCTATGAAATAACACGTTATTATATATATTATATATATATTATTATATATTATGTGTATGTATATAATATTACATTAACAATTGAATGATTAATTGCAATGATCAATTGAGTTTAAAAGAGAGTAATTTAAGAACAAGAGAAATGAATACATCTCCTTCATTTATGCTATATGTTAGATTTTTAAATAATTTCTTTTAATATCATTAAGTTTTTTAGCAATATATATTATTATCATTTTTTTAATTATGAATGACTTATAAATCGATATTCTCTCTTATTCTAATTTCTAATTCTTTTCTTATCTACTTTTTGCTCTTCTCTTTTTTTCTACAATCTAGAATTAAAAGCAACTTGCGGACAAGTATACGTGTATGGAATGTGTATGAAATGATTGTTATGATGGTTCGATTGCTGTTACAAAGAAACTAGTTTGTGTATCTGTAATGCTGCTCCGGATCGAGTCCGTTCATCGAGTATCGCTAATCGATGTAACGAGCGCTCACGTGTATACATATGCGTATGAGTGTACATTTTCTTTCGAGAGCCGTAAGACTGATAACTTAAATCACGTACATAATGTATATAATAAACATACTCAAGCGTAAGAATTTTAATCGTGTCTCGATGAAAGTTTTAAGTATCTTATCATACTCGACAATTACCGGGATTTCTCCTAATAGGCAAGCCACATCTCTGTATATTTTTTTTATTATGTAAGTTCTCGTTTCCTTTTTGCGTATTTTTAATTCCTATTTGTAACATATCGTCTACGTATACTCGATATATATATATAGAGCATCTGTTAATGTTACGACACCTTTTTCACGTCGTTATCTGACAAACATGATTTGAATATTATCTTTACTTTACAGCATATATTAGTGATTATTGCATACAATATTATTATCATCATTGTTGGTTGTTATATATCTAAGATATGTTCCCTGTATAAAATGTATAAGTTTTGAAAATGTTTATTATAATGTGGTTCGTACATATATATATATATGCGTTTGGGTACCGAATTGTACATATCAATGAGAATGATTATTATCCTTTTGCAATAAAAATTATAACAATGTAAATAATATACGACCAGATCTTTTTTATCTTTATCATTTTTCATTTTATTTCCCTCGTCATCTATGTAATTTTGCACAAAACTATCTTTCGACAATTACTCCTTGAAACTATCAGAATTAATAGTTGGAGATTAACATTTGATGATACTTCTCGATCTAATTTTTTTATGGCCAAACAGTATTTTCGATCCAATCGAGATAAGAACTAATTCTGGTATAAATCGCGGGAGAAGCTTTAAAAGCGCAAAATTTTCCGAAACTTGTCACACCCACGATACTGTACATACAATAAGGTTCCGCAAGAACCCTTTGCAATGGACCACCGCTGTCACCCTATATATATAACATGAAAAATAAATTATCAATTCAAATCTTTTTTAAGCTTGTACATGTATATGTGTATATAGAGTATCTCAAAATTATTAATTAAACAAAAAATTCATCCATTGATGGAAAAAAATTCTTTTTGTCATAAGAAAAGTGAATTGATTCAATTAATTTGAGAAATGCAAGTAATATCTCCAAAAACCTTTTGTAAAGAGACAAAAGGCTTGAAAATAATTTCGAATATTTAACTGCACACCTGACAGGTGTCTTTTCCGCCTTCCATTATGCCGGCACAAAGTAAACTTTGTATCAAACCATCAGGCAGCCCCCGTGTACCGAGATCCTCGGCGTAACTTTTTTTACAATCGTCCTCGGATATGAAATTTAACTGAACCTTCATTAATTCGTTACTACCAATATTAGAGTCTGCACAATGTTTTATATATATAATATAAATATCTTATGTAATATCTTCCAATATATATATATATATATATATATATATATATATATATATATATAAAAAACAATGAGTAATATTATAATAAATTAATATAAAATAATTTACTTTATAAAATATTAAAATATAAAAGAGAAAAGAAATATTTGAGAAATACTGACCGTAAGAGGTTTTCCCAAATCCAGAAGCGATAGCGCTTTTGCCCGGTATTTGCGAGTTTCCTTCAAGACACGCGGGTCTTACTCGAGGATTCAACTCTAACGGTCGATCGAGTTTAAGTAATGCTATATCGTGATACTTAACCCAAGGCTTGTAATCTGGATGCTGAATTCTTTCCGTGATGTATCTCTCTTGCATGACATCACCTGGAGCTGATAAATCAATTAAGCCGACACGTACTTTGATCGCAGGACCTCTGGAATAAAACATAGATAATATTAAGAATGATATTTTTTATATTTTAATTTCAAAATTCATGAATAATAAAATGAATATGATGGAATAATTGTGAAAGTAAAATTATTACTTATCCGGAGATTCCAAACAGTGAGCCGCTGACAGAATAAAATTCTCCGAAATGATACTTCCTCCACAATCCCAGGACATCGCGTCATTCTTGCCATAACCGATCACCGCCTGCAATGGAAATGATATTTTGTCAATTAAATATTGAATCACAATACATGGAAACCTAAGTATGTCACGTAGCAGTGGATTTTCCAAGCTATCTTAAACTGGAACATATAGAAAAAGAATATGCTATATTTCTTCCTATGTAATGCTAAGATAAAAAAAAATAAAACCATTGCATAAAATAATCTCGTATTTTATTTTATTTCATTTTAATTTTTGTGTTCTCTTTTTTTGTAATTTATAAAATATTCTTTAATTTATATAAAAATATTCTATATAATATTGTTTGTATAACACAATTACGAGTTAATGATATCATTGTTGATTCAATAATCAAAGATGATTTCCTTATATATGCATTGATTTCCTTATATATGCATTTGTTCCTTGTACTGATAATTATAATCACAGTTTTTCTATCGATTCTGTCAATAAGACTTTTGTATATTTCTTCTTACCATATGAGGAAATTCCGCGAGTTTTGCTGGAATTCCGCCGATGATAAGAGGCGTCTCAATAATCGCGCAACGAGATACTTTATTCGAGCCAGCATTGATTCGCAAAGTCGGTGAATTCTCGGTTTCGTAAACCAGATCGGCATATTCTTTGCATTCTATAAAAATACAAGATATGAGTAAGAATCATAAGAATTGTAAATAAGTAAAACAGACGTCACAATGATGACTGAATAGTGGAATTACAATATAGGAAACTATAATTATAAGAATACACAGAAATTATTTATTTTTACGAGCAACTCTCATCTCCTAAAGTAGTTTATCGAGTTATTTAGTCATACGTCATGACTATTTAATGACGCATGTACTACGAAATGCGTTTATTTATACATATATTGATGTAAACGAGTTACGCGTATTTCCTCAATCAAATCTCTTGCATAATAAAAATAATTTTTGCAAATGCTTTCGTAATTTACAATATTGCGTTTTAATAAACGTAATTTACAGTATTGTGTTTTAAACGTAATTTATAGTAATGTGTTTTAATAAATATTAGATGTGTCATGAAATTTTATTAAAGCACTTGTAAAATATAACTTATATAGTGTACAATAACTCTTTTACATATAAATAAAATTAGAATCAAATAAAATTTGGATTTTTTTAATTAGCTAAATAGAAAATTAATAAATGTTTGTTTAGTTTCCTATTTACAACTATAATTGCTACAAGATATTTAATATTAAAAATTAAAGTGTTACGATGATTTTTCTTTCACAATTTCTGTCTGAGAAAAATCGATTTTAAATTTGACAGAGGATTTGTTATCGAAAAGAGTCATTATATGAATCTAGGACACATCGCATCAAGATCATGATTTATATGCGTGCATTCAAAATAAAGTTTTCTCGAATTCGATTGTGAATATAATTAACAAGAAGAGTTATCACTAACTTTCTTCGCTTTTTCGCGCTGTAGAATTTCTGAATAAGATGACAACGAATAATACGATTGCAAACTTCTCGTACATATTGCGAGTCTAATACACAACGATCGATGCCGAACGATCTTTGAACAAAGGCCTTCATAGCAAATTCTCGCTTTTAAGTGTGTTGGATAATGCATAACGAAATGCACACGATGATGGTTGTTCGTTAACGATCAATAATCCGTAAGCTGAAATGTCATTAATATGATATTGTCGAAATTATATAGCCAATGATGTATCCTCTTGATTTTCTCCAAGAAATACTTCTTAGAACATTTGCATCTATTTGCGATAAGTAAATTGCATTTTAATAATGGATGACTATTTCATAGTCATCCATTTCATAGAAAAATTAACGTTTTTATATTTTAATATATACAGTGCTTAGTATTTTTGCACCATTTAATTAATTCAGAAACATGCTTATTACTTAAACATAAATTATCTACGTTTGCACACTTTTTTATGCTATTATATATCTTTTCAAATTGCGTAAATTCTATAATATTTGATAGTTTAATTTATTTTTCACAGAAATATTTTTATGCAATACCGTCTTTTATTTTTTCACGAAAAATCATCAATATTTGTTTAATCGCAAAATAATTATCTTTATTTATTAATTAAATTAATATTATTTATTTATTAAATTAATAACAGGACTATCGTATTAATTTCTTCTCTAACTTGCAAATTAATGTTCAAATCAACGCTACATCCCTGGATGTGCGGACGTGGTCCGCTCATAATGAGATACCGGCTTTATTAAAGCTAACGGGTTTCTTACAGCAATATCGATCGCAATGAACCGGATTGGATTTGTCTTACGGTCTATTAAGTTCTATTTGCTGATATTATTTCTAAAATGTCAAAAAATATGTAGAATCTCTACAAATTTATCTTGATCTATTTATACAATTATTTTAAAATATGTATAATATTCTTATAAAATTCGAATTAGTCGGCTTGAAGTATATTTTCTTTTTAATATATAATATTTACTTTAATTCTGCTAAATATATTAATAATTTAAATTAAACAAATATTAAAAAATTTAATGCCAATAAACTGTAGCAGATGTAATTTTTCAATTATTACTTTATCACAAGCTTTCGACTAGATTGATTTGGCAATTTTTTATATCATAAGCGGAATAACTCGAATTTATTTGAAATATAATTTTTAAAGATGTAATAAAATTGATAAATTTTCTCTACGCGAATGTTGCTTTTCATTTTGTTATCAATCCACTTTATAATCAGTTAATCGATATCTTCAATAATTATGCTATAACAGTTTGCAAGTAGTTATATTATACTACGTGACATTGCAAAAATCATATTTGCAATAACATACTTCAAGAGCAATTATAATGTTCTGATATGCAAATATTACAGATTAATATCGCAAATATTAACTCCACAACAATTACTATCTCTATAATCTATTTATAGTAGTAAATGATATTTTATTTAATATAAATGTATTTAGATAATTATAAAAAAATTACTTATTTAATTATTGTTGCATTCATCGCGCACATTATAAATATTTATCTACGTAATTTCCATAATTATTATATAATTTGTGTATGAATCTATTGATAAAATGTAATTGGAGCAAATTTATTGCAAAATTTATAAATAAACATTTATTAAACGAACAACATTTAATAAATTATATTTTTAACTTGCTAATGTAAATTATGCAAGCATTTATATATCTTGATGAATAAAAGAAATTAATAATTATAATAAGATCTAGAAAGCTTTGAAAAGTTTTAATTAATCAACAAAGATTATAAAATATATTTATTCTTGCAATATGACTGAATTATTCTCATTGCCTGAATGTAAAATAAACTATTTTGATATATTTTTATCTTGTATGTAAGATTTTCGCGTTCAAAAACTTAATAAACTCGTTTTTATTGATGATACTGTTCAGTCGCTCATACTATGGATTATTAATATATATTTTAATTTATATTGCATCATATCAAAACATTAAAAAAATATTGAAAATAGAGAAAATTCATTCAATATCAAGATGCCCAAAATATTCAAAATCGAAGTAATTGAGTCAAATTCAAATTTCGAAAATAATTTGTTTGTATCATAATGCTTGATACTTAATTCCCAATAGCAATAAATAAGATATATTTCAAAAAGTGAAATTACCGGAAAATCACATCAATTTTGATTCTCGTTATCAAATCAATTACGACACGTGAATAATTGCCCTGCATAATTAATTGTTCCCCGTATTCTTTTAAACGCATGTTGTTGTTGAAAGCAAACGAGATTCGTTCTTTGAAAAAATCGCATCATCTCGCGAGGAATCGCATCTCACTCACGCTCAGCTAACCGGCTTATTGCAAAGTGTACGACAAAAATGTCCTCGCTATTGTGAGACCATGGAAGAACATGGTGGGGACCATGGAATAACAAGGTGGGGACCATGAGGAAACTCGGAAATCAGCGAATACGAGTAGACTGACGAGTTAGATGAGATATATCTTGCGTCGCGACCGGTACGCGAGACCAGACGAGGAGACCGCGTGATCAAGGTTGTAATCAAGAATGTCACAGAGCATGCTGATCGCTTCGCCATTATTATTGTTGGTGTTAGTGTCGATCCTGCTGCCGACACATGGACGCGATATCGGAGGTGAGTATCAGTTCTTTTCGCTAAAAATACAAATTCCTGTTTGAAACGAATGTCACACGCATTTCTTGCGAAAAAATAAGAAGATTGCTTTATCCCGAAAAAATTCCACTATTAGCATGTAATTTTGTATTCATGTGAAGTGATTATATGATCATACATTCACAACAACTATCAACAATTGTCATTGATATAATTACTTGTTTATTTGATTGTAAGTACTCATTTTTTATTTATTCAAATAAAAAAATTACTTAACAATAACGTCTCAAGCATCAATTTTTATTTTTACATTTATTTTTAATATATCCGGTTATGCAAATTAACCGATATTAACAATAATTTAACGATCGCAAAGCAAGTGTAGAAATATTTCTATCATCCAAAAAAAACCTTAAACCTATTATAGTATACATATTAGAGGTCTATTATCTTTGTTAAGAAAAATTGTAAGGTCAATTTATCTAGTATCTATCTTCACAATTAAAACATTTAATATTCTTTCATTTATTTGAGAAAAACATCGTTAACAGCTAAAATTATATGTACAATAAGTGTAAAATATTTTTTCTTTATGCCTATATGATACTTTAAAAAATATGCAAATTTAAATATATTACACGTATACATTTGAATAAATATAATTTTCTAAAATAAATGAAAGAATATTAAATGTTTTAATTGTGAAGATACTAGATAAATTGACCTTACAATTCTTGTTGACAAAAATAATAGGTCTCTAATATGTATATATACTATAATAGGTTTAAGGTTTTTTTCGATGCATAAATATTGTGTATTTCTTATTAACAACAATTATCTTCAAGAACTCTTCAATTGCTTGTGCTAATTGTCAGAGTGTTCTGAACTCAGATAAAAAGGGCAATAACTATTGACATTTGAGTTAGTGACTTTTCTAAATGATCTTAAATATGCAATGATATAACTGCGTATTTTTATCAGACCGTTATATAAACGCATTTGTAAAATATAGTTTTAATAATAACACAATACGATTTAAAAAGAGCAAACGAAAGTTTCACATTTATATTCCAACTTATCTATCTTTTTCAATGCTTTACTATACGACAACAAATAACCGTGTTGAAATTTTTTAATTTTAAATTTTATTGCGCCTAAACTGAGGAGTATAACTTTCAAATAATAAAAATTTATATATATAGATCCATATTTTTAATAAAAATAATTTTCAGAAGGATGCAATATCGATAATTCACGCGAGCAAGGTATATGCAAGCTTCTGCGAGACTGTTCAGTTGTTTACCAGCAATTGTTGGGTGGCAAAATGCCGCAAAATATTTGCGGCTTTTCAGGTTTTGATCCGATAGTCTGTTGCCCGACAGAAGTACGTGCTACCACCAAACCACCACAAAGTACCGAAATAATTCAAACGGAAATGGTGCGACCTTTGAAGCTGAATGGCAGAGGTTCGTTAGCGCGAGCAAGTAAGTGGGAATTCCTTCTCAATTAATTTTCTAATCTAAAGAGATTTTAATTAGAAACGCTGAATAATCTCTTAGCGTAGCATTAATCCAATCTGACATTGTTTATCTCATCATAGTTGTACTTTCAGCATTTCATAAAATGCTAAATCAATATTTTTCCTAAATTTACAAAAATTTTAAGAATATTCATTACTGATAACTTAATATTTAAAAAATTGCATTGACGACATAATCAATTTGTATAAATACATATTTCTATAATAAATTGAAATATATTAATGAAATTTAAATATCTAGAAAAAAGATAAGATAAAAAGCTGATTATTCATCAAGAGAACGAAGGAAGCGATGTAGCTTCATTGAAACTGAACATTCTTTCAAGTCGACATAATCTCCTCTGTTTCTCAGAATGCGCGGAAGCCGCGGAAGCTGTCTATGGCTTAGAATTACCACCTATTCCGATCCCTCATCGAAAACCCGTCAATGTATCGCGTTGCGCCCTAAAATCGCGCAAATTGATCGTCGGTGGCGTCAAAGCCGATCCGAAAGAATTTCCGCATATGGCAGCCGTTGGTTTCACCGATCCAGGAAGCCAGAATATCGCATGGAATTGTGGTGGTAGCTTGATTTCCGCTAAGATCGTTTTAACAGCGGCACATTGCACTTGGAATCCAAACTGGTAAAAAGATCCAAAAAGTTTTTATTTATCTTTAGAAAATTAATGAAGAAAAAGTGATCGAAGACTTTTCGAATATTTTTAGTATTCTAGTAAAATAAAAAATAGCTTTCTCTCTCTCTCTCTCTCTCTCTCTCTCTCTCTCTCTCTCTCTCTCTCTCTCTCTCTCTCTCTCATCGTTACAACTATGCATCTCAATCTTTTTTTTATTGATAATCCTTCAATCAGTTTCTTCGAATCAAAGCATTACTATTTTTTTTAATTATGTGAACGATTTAAAATGAAAAATACCTTTTTTATTGTTATTTTGTGAACGTATATTTTAATTTTTATTTGCTTAAAAAGGGGAAACGCGACATGGGTGCGTGTTGGTGATCTGAATCTTGCGCAAACAAATGACGACGCAATGCCGCAAAATATTAAAATCGCAGAAAGAATAAAGCATCCTGAGTACAAAGGTTTGTCAGTGTACAATGATATAGCTATACTACGATTGGAAAAAGAAGCTACTTATAATGCCTGGGTGAGACCAGCATGCCTTCCGATTGATTTGCCTGATATTGGCACGGATAATAAGGCCGTTGCTAGTGGATGGGGTTTAGTTGATTGGTGTAAGATCTTTAAAAAAATTATAATTATAAATTTTATAACTGTATACATGTATATGTAAATTAATAGATCGTAAAATATTTTGCAGCTGACGACACGGGTTCAGACAATTTACTGAAAGTAACGCTCAAACTGGTCAATCACACAACTTGCAATTCGAGCATTTCGGATGGCAGCACTAGTGCACAGCTTCCATTGGGCATAGTCGACGAGTCGCAAATATGTGCGGGAGAAGAGGGAAAAGATACTTGCCAAGTAACATATTTTCCTTCATATTGAAAACTTTCTTCTTCCTAACAGGAACTTCATTTTAACTGAAGAAACGCTTATTCCCTTTCCTTTATTCTCTTTTTTTATTTCCTCTACAGTCGTATGACTATTAATTAAATGAACCATTTCGTGATTGAATTATTTTCTATTTAATTTTATTTATAATTATAGACAAGAAATTAGTCAAACTTTAATTAATTTATTATTTTTAATTTTAGCTGAATTTATCCATAAATATTTTATATTATTTTTATGATAAGTTATTATACATATATACATACAGTTATATACATTTTTGTTTATAATTGTGACAAATTATGCACTTTTGTTTAATAAAGGGTGACAGTGGAGGACCACTCGCTATCTTTAACAAGGATCATGATTGCATGTACAACATAATCGGAATTACTAGCGTTGGACGACTCTGCGGCAGCTTCATACCTGGCGTGTACACTCGAGTCTACAATTACATCCCCTGGATAGAGAGAGCCGCGTGGCCGGAATACTTTTTAAACAATTAATTTAAAATTACTTTTTTAACGTAAATGTATTGTTTTTTATATAGTAAATATATGCTTTTTTTACACGATACAGTTTGTAATGATTGTAATTTTTTTGCAATTTTCTGATACAAGTTTTTATTTTCAATCTTGTAATTCTAAATATGTAAGCAAAAGAAATTAAAACTCATCGTAATATTGTAAAACAAACTTTTTGAAGATATTAAAATAGGCGATAAAATAGATATTTAAATAATACATTTGATAATAATACATTTGTAAATATTGAAATATTTTTAATGAAAAATAATAAAAGATTAACGAAAGAACTTTATACAACGTTCAATTTCAACTTTTGAGAAGAAAACGATAAAATATCACGAAAGATTTTATAAAATGTTAATTTCACTCTTTGATAAATTATTATTGGTTTTTATATTGAATCTCTTGATTACATTATTTTCCTATGTTTATTCTATTATTCTTATATTATCTGTTTATTAATTAAATTTTGGCTTTCAATATTAAAATTTACATATTAAGAATTAGTCTAGCTTCTTTTCTTCAAACGAGTAGATATATATATTTTTCGCGATGTCAAGAAATAGAATCGTCAAGCAAGACAATCGCACGCGGGATGCGCGCAACAAGAAGCAATTTATGCAAATACATAAACTCCCCGAGGTGAATGCGCGCGAGTAGGGCGAATTCCTGAGGATACTCGACATCGATCCTTGGACGCGCAAGCGCCGACGAATTCTCGTCTACTTCCATCGTTTCTGATCATCGGTGACGAGAGTTCGTTCGTCGTATTCGGCGAACATAGTTAGAACGCGGCCGTCTATTTTCGTTTATTTTAAGAGTTGACCGTCTTTCGCGATACTGCCCAGTCAAGGTAAGGAAGTCACGAAGCAACCACACGTCTCGCGACTTCTCGAGTTCATCGTTTTGTGTATCGAAAAACCTCCAAAAAAAGGACGAAAGATCTCTCAAAATTAATAAATCATTATATTTTTGCTGACAAAATTTTGATATTAATTTTACGACTTTAATTAGGATCATTGCAATGTTGAAGCGACGAGGATATAGATTGTATTATAAGTAGATATCAATATTCTTTTTATAATATTTTTATAATATTTTAAAGAGAGAAAATCTAAAGTTTTATGTTATGTTATAAAAAACCTATCTAATTATAGCCTACTCTATTTAATTAGAAGATAGATCTATTTAAGATGAATAATTTAACAATTTTGTGCTTAGTTTGTTTATATTTACGTTTACGTTTTTTTGTTATTCTGTTATAATAATATGATGATGTTTCGATAGGTAAACGGACACAGAAGAACTAATGTCGGCTCTTCTAGATGTATGCGGAAATGATACTGGTTCACCATCGATATCGAAGGCTGACGATAATTTATCCAATAGTGACGGGCCTCTGATTAAAGGCCTTATTCGTCAAAATAGTTGCGGCAGCGTACATGCACGGTAAATATAAAAAACAATATGTATTAAACATTGAATTGTCTTAATTGGTACAATGTCTAATAATTGATGAATAATTATAATCTTAACATGCGAGGCTCGTTCTTTTCCTCCCATCATATTATCATATCATCTTATTAAATTTACTTATCAAGCTACTTTATCAAGTTACACTACTATTATTCATAAAGGGACTGAACAAGAAATTGATAATTGGAATTATTTCAAGAGTAATTAGTTAGTAAAAATTATTAGTGCAATCTTTAGACTAGAAATTAATTTCACAATATAAACAATTAATCTTCAATTTGATTAACAGGACAATCGGCTCTTCATACGGTATGTCATCGTCGAGCGAAAAACCTACGAAGAAACGTTACTGTCTTTGGACATTGACTCTAGTACTGGCGATAATCGGCCTCTGCAATCTTTTTCTGAATATCACTGTCATTGCTGTTTTGCGAATTAGCCAGGGGATGGAGGCCATGGAAGTAATTCCAGATGAAAATCTTGTCAAATTTTACGGAAAAACCGACTTGGACAAGGTATATATATTTTCGTATCTGTTGTGGAGATAAATATTGGATAAATGTAGATAAGAATATAAAAAACAAAGTAATAATAAATATACGAGTATAGTCTTCATGCTGTTGCATATTTTGCTCTTCTCTTCGTAAATATATTAATATTATGAATATTATGAATATTTCTTCGCATTTTCTTCTTCAAAGATATCCCTGCAATCCGGTATCTGCCAGAGTTACGGCGACGAGCCGATGGAGGTATCCGGCGACGAAGCTGGAGTGCAGGTCGACATAGAGGGCCATGGACGAACCACTCACGAGACACATCCACGCTCAAAGCTAAGTGTCTTAGCGAACGGCACCATCATGACACAGGTGGAGTCATTCGAGGTGAAAGATCCGCGAATCGGCGCGACCTACTTCACCACCGATTTTCCAAACTTCGGCCTGCCGAACGGTGTCGAGACGATCGATGTAAGGATTGCGGAGACTTATCGGATCACTTCACCGGTCAATGAGAGTCTTGCAATAAAGTCCGATAATCAGATCTCAATGCACGGCGCGGAAGGTGTGCGTATAGAGAGCAAGGACATCATATGGAGTGCCGATCTAGATGTCTCTCTAAAAAGTGTAAACGGTAGCGTCGTGTTGGATGCCAAGGACGGTGTTTCCATCAACGTGGAGAATATTCCAGTTGCTCCCATGTTCTTGCAGAGTCCCATTGGGATTCACGAGCAGTACAAAGTTTGCGTGTGTATGCCGCAGGGCAAGCTCTTTAAGATACCGATCCGGCCAGGCGCGAGTTCTCGTATCGCCAATTGTGCGCGAGTCGCCAGGACCCCCGAAAACGATCCATGTCTGCATTGAATCCTAAGTACAGACTGTTATTTTTTATCACGTTTAAAAGACGTATAATCACTGCCAAAAAAGGCAAACTGCGTCAGAAAATCGAACAAGCTCGGAGCTTGATTTGTGTAATATTGATAAACAGTATGTTGAATACAAGATATTTGAAATATAAATTAAATGAGATGGAGCTTCGGTATATTTACGCAGTAAATTGTTGACACACATAATCATTAACTTGCATATCCTTAAGAAAAATTGACATCATAAAGATTATTTAAGCCGAATCTTTAGAGATCAAATCTCTTCCACTTATACAATTGTGAGTGAGAGTATAGAAGGTGCTATTTATTATGTAAAAAAAATTCTTAGAAAGTAGAGTTATATAATCGAATTTTTTTGTAGATTACACATTAATTTAATCTTTATTTTATTTACGACGAATCACGCATTCTCGAATCGTTCCCATAAATATGAACAGAATATCATCTTAAGATCATCAACGAAACTTATCGAAATGTATCTTCGAATGTTAAATACAGTTTTATAAGAAACGACAATAAGAAAGTATTATTTTATTTCAAAAAGAAGAAAACAGTTCACTGTACGAAAAGTGTATACCCAAAAAATTTAAATGCTTTCAGTAATCATTTCCTCATTGCTTTCATCCATGTCTTCCTGCTGTTCCTGTTCCGTGGGAGGCTCGTATGCTTTCTCCAACGGACTCGCCACTACCCCAGCCGCCCATACACTCATCTCTACCGCGAGCTTGTTAGAGCCTTCCAACAATGGTCTGTAACCACCATGAGCTAATACACGCAGTAATGTCTGAGCAGTGAGGCATACGAGATCTTGTTGTTCGAGCGTCATCGCGGTATGCACGCGTATGTTACCACCCTCGCACGGATCGGAAATACCTGAAGAAAGTTGTTGTAATCATTGCAACATGTTGCAATTGAGGGAATATCTACATCGATTGTTCTAGGAACTATGACATGAATGATTCTCGCAAATGATATCTGACGTAGAAAACTTGCGTTGAAGTAATTATACAAATTATCCTTGCTCATGACGTCATAATTCATAACAATTTAATCACAGATCTTTAAATTCAAGGCAAACAAGTAAATTTTGTGTAACTATGAAATAATAAATTTTTTGTATAACTGTGAAATAATAATCTGCAATTTTTTCACATAAAAACTAAGAATAAATAAAAAGTTTCGAACATGACGATAAAATAAATACTTTCTTAAGAATATTTTTCGAAAAATGACTCAAATATTTTTCGTTATTTATAGAAAATTTACTCAAATATTTTTCGTTATATATAGAAAATTTTTCAAATTTGAGATAGGTATATTTCTTATTATAAATTTTTTTATGATTTGTGTAAACAAATAAATTAAAATACCTGCTGATCCTGGGAGAAAGAGTCCGGAAGCAAGCAATTGCAATACCCTTTTGTATGCCTGATTAATTGGTAATGCCTGTCTGCTGGGATTGTTCATTATGGCATTGTGTGCCAACAAGTCTAACATCCATGGGGATAATGGCTCAAAACCTTCAAATCTGTTTCTGAGATCACGAAGTAAGCGTATTAAAACTTTAATGCTAGAATGATGAGCATTCTCCTCAAACCAACGTGAATGTCTAATAGCAGCAAGATGGCCTATAAATAAAAAATAAAAAAAAAATAAAATAAAAATTATTCTCTAATAAATAAATCAGTTATTAAGATTTGACATAAATTACTTATAATTACTGTCCAAAAAAAAGTGAGACAATTACCTTGACAAATTTTGACATCTAAATGTTGATCAGATTCCAGTTTGCGTAGATTTTGATGCAAAGTGGTTATTAATACACGCACAGTGGCTTCGGTATTACCAATATCGAATCCTCGTTCCGTCTGCATAACTTTGAACATTTCTTTCGGATTTACAGCTTTCAGATCATTATTGACTTTGTTCCCGAGAGCTTCTACTGCTGTTTTCGTCGGTAGAGTTTTCAAGATAACTACAATGTCAGCAACATTGTGACCTTTTATCATTGTGCCTTTCTTAAAACTGCCAACTTGTCTTACTTCCTCTAATTGCTATAGTGAAAACAAAAATAATTATTGCATATATAATATATAATGAAATTAAGTATTAAATATAAATCTGAATAACTTTAATTTTTGTATAATTAAACATGTACTTACGCAAGCTTCAAAGGTTCCTGGCGCAACAATCAAATTATCAAGAACACTCTGCAATTTAGTTACAAGGTTTAAAATAGAAGTTTGCTCCTTTGGTGTAGGACACATGTCAGAATTCTTTTTCAAAAGAGCCGTTTGAAAATCCGATTCATCTGGCGCGGGTTTAACACGTGGAAAAGCAGCCTCGCACAGCGTGTAATCAAATGGATGACGTGGAAGGAATTGTTTTCGTGGAAAACCCATTCCACGACCCATACCTCCTCGACCACCTCTGATCATTCCCCCACGACCTCGTACCATGTTATTTCTGCAAGAATAAATAATATAATAATGTAATAAAATTATCTCAATTTATATAAATAACATATGTTGACATTATATTGTCGTGTTCTTTTATTCAAAGAAATATGAGATAAATTATTATCTTTTTATGATATTTGATATTTTATATACATATGTCTCAGTTAAAATTTTATTAAAATATATTTCTTTTGAATGTAAATAAAAATGAGTTATCTACTTATTTCTAAGATTTGTCAAAATTTTGATGTTCGATAATTTATAACAGATTATTCATAACTCCAAATAATTATTGTTTTAAAATCTGCAATATTTTAATGTTATTAGCATATTATTCTAAGACTAAGGACCTATGTGATTAACAAAAAAATTATGCAAAACTGACACACCCATGCAAATACATTCGTAGATAATAATAAAGATAGAGGTTATATATTATACTCTAGCAATAATAACAATATTTCATAAAATATAATTTACATACATATATTTGACAAATGTTGAACATTTTCCCATTCAATTTTGAGATAATATTTAAGATATTCACGTAAATGGTATAATATACAAAAATCAATATGATGCTTCTGGATAATTTAACCTAATCAATGCATGTTTTCGCACTTAAAAATCGGAGCATTTACAGCATAAGAAAGTTTTTTAGATCGCTATTTTTCCTATACTTATAAGTAAGTACACTTACCCAAAAGATGCAAATTGGAAAGACGTGATGACAGTTTATTAATAACCGAAAATAAAATCCGCCGCTTGGCGTTTACCGCCGGTCACAACCGCACGTACAATCTCGAGGTCTCGAGTTTGGATATTAAGCCGGATCTACATTGGTCATATCGTAACGTCGCAAGTCGTAAGTCGTAGGCAAATTGGCCAATCATGATTGATTATTTTTGAAATAATTGACTATGATTGGTCAATTTGCCTACGACTTACGACTTGCGACGTTACAATACGACCAATGTAGATCTGGCTTTACATGAATGAGAGACCCTGTAAAGGGAATGTGAGACACGGGCGACTTGTTCCTGATTGGTCAAAAAATTTTTAGAAAAAAAATGGCGGAAATACCAAACAATAAAATCAATAAAAACCAATAAAAAATTATTACATTTAAGATGCCACTATTTAAAATGCTTGATAACATTAAAGTAAATAATAAAATTTTTTGTATATTTAAGAAATTTTTATATTTTTGTATACTTTTTCAAATCTCTCTCTTTATAAAATTAAATATGGAATTATTATATATAGCTAAATTTATTTGTTGATATTACTGGTAAAATCTCGATTTGATGCGTGTGTACTACACCTATAGATTATGAATATGTAAACAAGAATATGTATATAGATTTATTATTATAAATATATTTTAATAAGATATATAAAACTGTAAATTATTCTATTATTGAGATATTTTATGTATGCATCTAATACACATAAAATATATAATATATAATAATATAAATATCTTAAAATAATAAAATAATATAAATTATCTTATATGTATATCTTATATAATATATATATATATATATATATATATATATATATATTTATTTATTTATTTATTTTTACATATCTAAAAAATAGAAAAAAAGGACAAAATATATTTTAGGAGGATATATAAAATGTAGATATACAATTAAAATTCCAAAAAAATGCAATTCCAAAAATCTCTGAAATATTAAAAAATTTCTCGAATATTAGCATCAATCTTAATTCTAAATGAATAATTATTATATAATTTATAAATGCAACAATGATAACGATTTGTATTTTTAAATAAAAGCAAAACCATTAACTTCAAATTGATTGAAATTGGTTGATTATCGTAAAATAATAAATAGGAAAATGTTAAGTTTCATATAATTTAAAAATGGTGAAAACTCGCAGAGGATGATACTTGGTAGACATCAAGATAGACATGAAGATGATAAAAAGAAAAAGTATGAAAAAGAAATACAGTTGGAAATGAGACGGGCTGCAATGTTAAAGCGGAGCGATGCCAAAATAGCTCGATGTCATTTACAGGTTAAACAACGAGAAATCTGCAAGAAGGAAAAATTATTACATGCTCAAAAACTTATTGATCTAAAACAAAAAGAAATTGAAGTGACTCATAGACTGGCTGCTGAATTATCGCTGCGTAAAAGTAAAAACTTATGAACTATATATATTATATTTAGAATTTATCACATATCAAAATTATTTATTTATAAAAAGTTGTAATTGTTTCGTTTTCTTTTTTATATTCTTTCATCTTTTTCAGTTCTTTCAATATTAAATAAAATCAATTATTTTATAAATTGCAGATGAAGAAATAAAACGCGCGCTAAAATTGAGTCGAGTGAAATCCTTCACTCGATCGCTACCGGATTGTGTTATAAAAGAAGCTCGATTACGTCTGATAGAGAAAAAAGTTAATTTGGAAGCAAGACAGGCAAAATTAACGAAACTCTTGCATCAAGAGGAAACGCAGCAAGTAAAATTGCAACAAGCCGAACAAGAGAAAAAAAAGCGTAATTTGCGCGTTGATCTACAAAGACAATTAATGGACAATCATCAACGAATTCAAGAGAAAAGAAATAAAGAAAAAGAGCAGGATCGCAAGATGATAGAACAGACGATGCGAAAAATTCAGGAGGAAGATGCAAGAATAAAAAGAAAGAAAGATAACGATATGATTCTTCAGAGAGAAGAGATGATTGCTTTTTTAGCAGCTAAGGATGCGTGGGAAAAGAAATATAAAAAAGCATTGAAGGATGAGGACGAGAGGATATCTCGTACAATCGCGGAGAAGGAAGCTCAACAAAAGAAACTGCTCGATATGAAGGTAGAATCCTCTTCTATAAGGATATATAAAATATAGTCTATATACTATAAACTTATGTGATAAAAATTAATGCTTGTTTTTCATGATAGACCGAGTTTCGCGAAATGAGAGAAACGGCGATAGATAAAATGACTAAAAAACTGCTGGACAACGTACGTAAAAAAAGACAATGGGAAAAAATATCTAATGAATTATATCAAGAAGAACAGAAAAATAAATGGGCAAAGGAACCGGCTATATTTGCATCAAGGAAGCAATATGCCATTGCAGAATTTCTAAAAGAAATGGCAAGAATTTCAATAGTTTAACAATTAGCGACATGATAAATTTAAATAATATTTGAATCATTTCTTCCACGAATGCCAAAATTATAGAAATAAAAATAATTTGTGTTGATGTATTAAATATATTTGTATGAAAAATATAAAATCGTTTGAAGGCCAGGCGACAGAAAGCTATCGCTGAACGCAAAGCGGAAGATGAAGCGATCGATGCCGCATTTACACGATATTTGATCAAAGAACAAGAAAAAAATGTCGAAAAGCAAAGAAAACACGATAATGAATGTCGTGCAAGAAGTAAGCTTGCTTTCATATTATGTTATAATATTTCTATGATTTCGAATTATGAAATGTAAATGTATGTAAACTTATAATGTTTTAAATTTAAATAATGTCAAATATAAATAATGTCAAATAAAATGCCAGAGAAAATATTATATAAAAATTATAATTATAAAACATAATTACATTATAGAAATTCAATATGGAAGAGAGTTAAGAGAAACCATAAAAAATAATAGAATGTCTCATGCTACAAATATATTGAAACGACAATCTGAAATTTGTGCGCACGATGAAAATAGCAATCGGTTAAAAACGAGGGAAGGTGACAGAAGCAAAAATAATACGGCTGCGAAAAAAGAAGTTAATATGGACAGAAGATGTACGAGTGATTAATGATACAAATTCATTAATTGATTAATAAAAAGAGAATTTTTTGACAAAGAGCATTGCATGATTTATCACAGAGTATATATATTTTAATGGAGAAAAATAAAGATATTTATAATAATAAATTAATATGTAAAAACTAAATTTATATTTTTAATTTTTTAGTTATACAATATTTAATTTTTCATAAAGAATTCTAAAATTTATTTATTGGAGCAACTGTTTTAAAAAATGATACAAGAATGCTAATAAAAATTGAAGTTTAACAAACGTGCGATAGTGAAGGCGAAAAACTGAAAATTCGGAAAGTCCATTTAGCGCTTAAAAATACACATTCGATTTATTTATAGATATATATTTATTTATTTATAGATGTATATTTATAGATATTTATTTATAGATATTTATTTATAGATCTTATTCAATTTTTCATTTATTGATATGTACATTCTATATATAATAATAGACTGACTTTTATTTCAGAGTCCATTTTATAGAAAAATTAACATTTTTATATTTTAATATATACAGTACTTAGTATTTTTGCGTCATTTGATTAATTCAGAAACATGCTTATTATTATTACTTAAACATAGATTATCTACATTTGCACACTTTTTTATACTATTATATATATATAACTATATATATATATATATATATATATATATATATATATATATATATTAAAATTCATTCAATATCAAGATATCCAAAATATTCAAAGTCGATGTAATTCGGTCAAATTCAAATTTCAAAAATAATTTGTTTGTATCATAATACTTGATAAATACTTGATAATACTTAATTGCTTGATAATACTTGATAATACTTAATAATACTTGATAATACTTGCTAATTACTTGATAATACTTAATTGCTAATAGCAATAAGTAAGATATATTTTAAAAAGTGAAATTATCGGAAAATCACATCAATTTTGATTCTCGTTATCAAATTAATTACGACACGTGAATAATTGCCCCGCATAATTAATTGTTCCCCGCATTCTTTTGAACGCATGTTGTTGAAAGCACGAAGCGAGATTCCTTCTTTGAAAAAATCACATCATCTCGCAAAGAATCGCATCTCACTCACGCTCAGCTAACTAGCTTATTGCAAAGTCTATGACAAAAATTTGACCTCGCTATATTATGAAACCATGGAAGAAACCATGGTGGGGACTATAAAATAACATGGTGGGGATTATGAGGAAACTCGGAAACCAGCGAAAGACGAGTTAAATGAGATATATTTTGCATCACACCAGTACGCGAGACGAGGAGACCATGTAATGAAGGTTATCAAGAATGTCACAGAGCATACTGGCCGTTTCGCCGTTATTATTGTTGATATTAGTATCGATCCTGTTTCCGACATATGGAAAAAATATCGGAGGTGAGTATTAGTTCTTTTCGCTAAAAATCCAAATTTCTGTTTGAAACGAACGTGTCAAATGCATTTTTGCAAGAATGAGAAGATTTATCCCGAAAAAATTCCACTATTAGCATGTAATTTTGTAATCATATGAAGCGATTATATGATCATACATTCACAACAACAATTATCATTGATATAATTACTTGTTTATTTGATTGTAAGTATTCATTTTTTATTTATTCAAATAGAAAAATAAAAAATTACCTAACAATAACGTCTCAAGCATCAATTTTTATTTTTACATTTTATTATTTTTAATATAATATATCCTGTCATGCGAATTAACGGTACAATAATTTAGCGATCGCAAAACAAGCGTAGAAATATTTCTATCATCGGAAAAAACCTTAAATCTATTATAGTATACATATACATTATCATAATATATTCTTTCATTTATTTGAGAAAATTATATTTATTCAAATGTATACGCGTAATATGTTTAAATTTGCATATTTCTTAAAGTAACATATAGGCATAAAGAAAAACATTTTACGCTTATTGTAAATATAATTTTAGCTGTTATTTGTTGACAATCTTTTTTTCAAATAAATGAAAGAATATTAAATGTTTCAATTGTGAAGATACTAGATAAATTGACCTTACAATTCTTGTTGACAAAGATAATAGGCCTGTAATATGTATATATACTATAATAGGTGTAAGGTTTCTTCGATTCATAAACACAATTTTGTGTATGTACTTCTTATTAACAACAATTTTCTTCAACTGCTTGTGATAATCGTCAGATTGTTCTGAACTGAGATAAAGAGGGCAATATATAACTGTTGACATTTGAGTTAGTAACTTTTCTAAATGATCTTAAATATGCAATGATATAACTGCATATTTTTATCAGACCATTATATAAACGCATTTGTAAAATATAGTTTAAATAATAACACAATACGATTTAAAAAGAGCAAACGAAAATTTCACATTTATATTCCAACTTATCTATCTTTTCCAATGCTTTACTATACAACAAATAACCGTGAAATTTTTTAATTTTAAATTTTATTGCGCTTACATCGAGAAGTATCTTTAAATAAAAACTTTTTTATATATATGAATCCATATTTTTAATAAAAATTTATAATATTTCATATATGCACATGTGCGTACATCTTATAATTTTCAGAAGGATGCAATGTCGATAATACAAGCGAACAAGGTATATGCAAGCATGTGCGAAACTGTTCAATCGTTTACCAGCAATTGTTGGCTGACAAATTGCCGGAAAGTATTTGCGGCTATTCAGGTATTGATCCGATAGTTTGTTGTCCAATATCACAAACTATCGAAATAACTCACACGGAAGTGATGCGACCTTTGAAGGTGGATAGCAGTAGAGGTTCGTTAGCGCGAGCAAGTAAGTGGGATTTCCTTCTCAATTATTTTTCCAATTTTAATAGATTCTCATTAGAAATGCTGAATAATCTCGTAGCATTTTTCAAATCTGACATTGTCTTATCGCAGTTGTACTTTCAACACTTCATAAAATGCTAAATCACATATACTAAATCAATGTTTTCCGTAAATTTACATCAAAAATTTTAAGAATATTCATTATTGATAGCTTAATATTTAAAAAATTGCATTGATGACAAGTTGTATAAATACATATTTCTATAATAAATTGAAATATAATATATTAATTTAAATGTCTAGAAAAGAGACAAAATAAGAAGCTGATGATTTGTTAAGAGAACGAAAGAAGCGACGCAGTTGAAAATGTAGCTTCAGCTTGAAACTGAACATCCTTTCAAGTAGACATAATCTCTGTTTCTCAGAATGTGCGGAAGCCGCGGAAGCTGTCTATGGCTTGGTATTTAGACCGGCCCTTGATTCAAGACCCGTCAATGGATCGCGTTGCGCCTTAAACGCGCGCAAGCTGATTGTCGGCGGCATCAAAGCCGATCCGAGAGAATTTCCGCATATGGCAGCTATTGGTTTCACCGACCCAAAAAGTCGGGCTATCTCATGGTCATGTGGTGGCAGTTTGATTTCCGCTAAGATTGTCTTAACAGTGGCACAATGCGCTTGGAATAATTACTGGTAAAAAAATCCGTTTTTATTTACTTTCAGAAAATTAACGAAGAAAAAGTGATCGAAGATACTTTTAGTATTTTAGTAAAATAAAAGACAGCTTTCGCTTTCTCTTTCTCTCTCTCTCTCTCTCATCGTAACACCTATGATTCGCAATCTTTTTTTATTGATAATCATTCGATCAGTTTGAATGAAAATATTACTGTTTTTTTTAAATCATGTGAACGATTTAAGATGAAATATACCTTTTTTATTATTATTTTGTGAACGTATACTTTAATTTTTATTTGCTTAAAAAGGGGAAATGCGACATGGGTGCGAGTTGGTGATCTGAATCTTGTACAAACGAATGACGACGCGATGCCGCAAGATATTAGAATTGCAGAAAGAATAAAGCATCCTGAATACAAAACCCGTACGGTGTACAATGATATAGCTATACTACGATTGGAAAAAGAAGCTACCTATAATGCCTGGGTGAGACCAGCATGCCTTCCGGTTGATTTGCCTGATATTGGCACGGATAATAAGGCCGTTGCTAGTGGATGGGGTTTAGTTGATTGGCGTAAGATCTTTAAAAAAATTATAATTATAAATTTTATAATTGTATACATATATATATGTATATGTAAGTTAATAGATCGTAATATATTCTGCAGTTGGCGACACACGCTCAGACAATTTATTGAAAGTAACGCTCAAACTGGTCGATCACGCAACTTGCAATGCGAGTTTTTGGGAAGACAGCTCCAATACTAAACTTCCATTGGGCATAGTCGACAAGTGGCAAATATGTGCGGGAGAAGTAGGAAGAGATACTTGCCAAGTAACATATTTTCCTTCATATTGAAAACTTTCTTCTTCCTAATGAGAGCTTCATTTTAATTAAAGAAACTCTTATTCCCTTTCCTTTATTCTCTTTTTTATTTCCTTTACAGTCGTTTCTATAACTATTAATTAAATGAACCATTTCGTGATTGAATTATTTTCTAATTTTATTTATAATTATAGGCAAAGAATTAGTCAAAGTTTAATTAATTTATTATTTTTAATTTTAGTTGCGTGAGTTTATTCATAAAAATTATATTATTTTTGTGATAACTAAGTTAAGCAAAAATTGAAGTTAATCGAATGAATTTTTGTTTATAATTATTAAGGGTGACAGCGGAGGACCACTCGTTATCTTTAACAAGGATCATGATTGCATGTACAACATAATCGGAATTACTAGCTTTGGACGATCGTGCGGCAGCAACATACCTGGCGTGTACACTCGAGTCTACTATTACATCCCCTGGATAGAGAGAGTCGCGTGGCCGGAATACTTTTCAGACGATGAATCTAAAATTACTTTTTTAACGTAAATGTATTATTTTTTATATAGAAAATATATGCTTTTTTACACGATGCAGTTTGTAGTAATTGTAATTTTTTTGGTTTTTGAAACAAGTTTTCATTTTCAGCCTTGTAATTTAGAAAATGTAAGCAAATGGAATTAAAATTCATCGTTATAAAACAAATTTTTTAAGAGATTAAAATAGGTGATAAAATAAACATTTAAATAATACATTTAATAATGTAAATATTGAAATATTTTTAATGAAAAATAATAAAAGATTAACGAAAGAAACTTTATACAACAATTTCGACTTTTAAGAGAAGAAAACGGTAAAATATCACAAAAGATTTTATAAAATGTTAATTTCGCTCTTTGATAAATTATTGTTGGTTTCTATATTGAATCTCTTGACTACATTATTTTCCTATATGTTTATTCTATTAATCTTATATTATCTATTTATCAATTAAATTTCGCTTTCATTATTAAAATGTACACATTACTGAAGCACTACATAATTATAGAAAAATTTGAATAAATATATGTAATTGCCAAACATATTGTTCAAGCGATTTTGTTGCTTACATTTCGGCCTCTTAAAATTATTTTATATTTTCAATATAAGCTGATTAATTTTGATTCCACTTATATTTTTGATTAATAAAAAGAATTAGACTGTCTAGCTTATTTTCTTCAAACGAGTAGATATATATATTTTTTGCGACATCAAGGAATAGAATCGTCAAACAAGATAATCGCGCGCAACAAGGAACAATTTATGCAAATACATAAACTTTCCGAGGCAGATGCGCGCGAGTAGGGCGAATTCCTAAGGATACTTGACATCGATCCTTGGACGCGCAATTCTTTTGTAAATTGCAGATGAAGAAATAAAACGTGCGCTAAAATTGAATCGAGTAAAATCCTTTACTCGATCGCTACGGAATTGTGTTATAAAAGAATCTCAATCACGTCTGATAGAGAAAAAAGTTAATTTGGAAGCGAGGCAGAATTAACGAAACTCTTGCATCAAGAGGAAACGCAAGAAAAATTGCAACAAGCCAAACAAGAGAAAAAAAGCGTAATTTGCGCGCTGATCTACAAAGACAATTAATGGACAATCATCAACGAATTCAAGAGAAAAGAAATAAAGAAAAAGAGCAGAAAAAGAGGATTGTAAGATGATAGAACAGACGATGCGAAAAATTCAGGAGGAAGATGCGAGAATAAAAAGAAAGAAAGATAACGATATGATCTTTTAGAGAGAAGAGATGACTGTTTTATTAGCAACTAAGGATGCGTAAAAAAAGAAATATAAAAAAGCATTGAAGGATGAGGACGAGAGAATATTGCTTACAATCGCGGAGAATGAAGAACTCTCTTGTTGAACTCCTCAACAAGAGAAACTGCTCGATAGAGGGTAGAATCCTCTTCTATAAGTAAAATATAGTCGATACTATAAACTTATGTGATACAAATTTTAATGATGCTTATTTTTCATGATAGACCGAGTTTTGCAAGATGAAAGAAATGGCAATAAATAAAATGACTAAAAAACTGCTGGATAACGTATAATAAAAAAAGAGAATGGGAAAAAATATCTAATGAATTATATCAGGAAGAACAAAAAAATAAGTGGGCAAAGGAACCGGCTATATTTGTATCAAGGAAGCAATACGCCATTGCAGAATTTCTAAAAGAAATAGCAAGAATTTCAATAGTTTAACAATTAGCGACATGATAAATTTAAATATTATTTGAATCGTTTCTTGCACGTATGTTAAAATTATAGAAATAAAAATAATTTGTTTTATGTATTAAATATATTTGTATGAAAAATACATAAATATATTGTACGATATTTGATTAAAGAACGAGAAAAAGATGCCACAAAGCAACGAAAATATGATAATGAATGTCTTGCAAGAAGTAAGCTTGCTTTTACATTATGTTAGAATATTTCTGATTTCGAATTACAAAATGTATATGTATGTAAACTTATAATGTTTTAAATAATGTCAAATATAATATATAAAATGCCAGAGAAAATATTATATAAAAATTATAATTACAAAACATAATTACATTATAAGTATCGAAGAGAGACCATAAAAAATAATAGAATTTCTCATGCTACGAATATGTTGAAACGACAATCTGAAATTTGTGAGCACGATGAAAATAGCAATTGGTTGAAAACGCGGGAAGATGACAGAAGCAAAAATGATACGACTGTGAAAAAAGAAGTTAATATAGACATCAGAGGATGCACGAATAATTAATGATACAAATTCATATTAATTGATTAATAAAAAAAGAATTCTTTTGCAAAGAGCGTTGCATGTGATTTATCACAGAGATATACAATACATTTTAGTGAAAAAAAATAAAGATATTTATAATAATAAATTAATATGCAAAAAATAAATTTATATTTTTAATTTTTTTAGTTAAGCGATATTTAATTTTTCATAAAGAATTCCAAAATTCATTTATTGGAACAGCTGTTTTCATAAAAGATATAAGAACGCTAATGAGAAATTGAAGCTTACGACCGTGCGATAGCGAAGACGAAAAACTGAAAATTCGGAAAGTCCATTTAGCGCTTAAAAACACATTCGATTTATATACGGATACATATCTTATTCAATTTTTTATTTATTGATATGTACATTCTATATATAATAATAGACTGATGTAGTGATAGACTGCTCCTCGCATCTTTAGATACGCTTACTTTTTATTGTTAAAATGCTTGTATACTAATTGCTAAATGTGCTTTCTCGTTCTGCAACACGTGTTATACACGTGTGTGCTCGCGTACGGTCGCAGCTTCTTCATATTTCATCACATTTCATCTAGCATTTATTGGTATACAGGTATGTACACATCGCGTGATTCCCCACGCGAATTCCTGTTATATTTGTACAAAGTCCGTGTAAAAATACAGCAGCCCCATCTTATGTCAATTATAAGTTTATGGTTTTTTACGCGTTAAAAGTTAAAATAAAATAACAGTCTCGCCTCTCGGACGTATCTAATATTCCGAATAGATTCGGATCGAGACCACTTGTGCCCTCGACTTTGTCGATCCGAGTGTGTCATGTCATTTGGCATACAGGGGTTTTCCCTTCTTTCCCCTCTTCCCGCTACTGCTAACTATTAAATGGAACAAGAAGCACTCGAGTTTAACGGGAATGATTACAGTAGTGTATGTACGAGCAATCAACTTGTTCTCGGTTACTGTCTAATCATTATAGTCGCTCAACGTTCTCATCATTCGCAAAAATACAATGTTTAGTTACGATTACTGGACTATGATACTTTTTCAAAGTCATACGATGAATGTGCATACATAGAAAAAGATTTTACGACACATAACAATAACAGTTCTTCCTACTAAATGATTTGCTTGATAGTCTTCAATTGTCATTAAATTGTAAAAGAAACTCTCAAAGAAATCGTTGTAAACATTTAAGAAATTTTTTTTATAAAAGTAGCTTTGTCAATCTTATAAAACTTGCTCTGTAAAATAAAACAAAATTGAAAGGAATTTAATTTTCATACATTCTACATTTCAATCATATTATTCCATCTTATTTCAGATTTATTTAGAAAATTTAAATAAAAATCAAATCCCTTTCTATATATCCCTTTTCGCTTTCCTTAATATATGTTTCATAAACACGTTTTGATTTTCTCATTGTTTCTTTCCTTAATACAGTTATAGTTATAGTTCCGTGACTTAGTACAGTTATAGTTATAGTTCCGTGACTTAACTGTGCTAAATGAAAAAATCTTGTTAAATATGCGCTATTTAATTTGTCAAATTAAAAATATAGAGTTGTGCAACTAAGTTCTTATACTAGAAAAAATGTACTTAAATAAAATAAATTAAAATATTTAATATTAATTTTGAAATAAATCTTTTAAAAAATAATACAAATATAATATCTCTAAGATACAACCGATATCTATTTTTTATCCATCCGCTTTTTAACCGCTGAACACTTCGGGTTTTGCTTTGATTTTGTTATAAATCGATTACTTTCTCGATTCTTGATGTTAATCTATGTTGATTTTTGTATTAATCACGACTCGTCGCAATTCGGGACGAAATTAGAGACTCAAGTGTTGCAAAATCTTTTTCATATGTATGCATTTTTCCATCACACTCGTTAAATTTACGCGAACGTAGAAAATTGTTTAATTCGCGTTTACAGATTTGATTCATTTCGTCGCAACTGAATCTCTCAGTGGACAGACTATATCAAAGTAACGGCTACGATTTATCGTCTACACATTACAGAATCCGAATATCTCAGCATTTCTGTTATCTACCTGCTGATTCTACGTTCAAGCTACATATTCCCTCTTGCTCTTCTTGTTTCTTTCTCTTTTTTTTGCTTCATTTATATTACAACGCAAAACTTACGACCAAAGCGAAGTACATTCTCTAGTTAATCGTACAATATATATAAGTATGTATCACAATAAATGTATATATATGTATATGGATATAGATGCAAAACGAAATGCAAAGTTACAGATATTCGGATTAAACGCTCACCGCAATCGCACGCGAATTCGCAATGGTTTCTTTCGCGCAACAACAGAGAGGCATAAAAAACGAAACGTCATTGGATTATAATCGACTAAGAATTTAGGAATTAAAATCGAAATTTCTGTGAACTTGGATTTAAATGCGACGTGTGTTACGCACGTTATTAATTCAAAAGAAAATGTTATAACACAGCTCGATTTCTTAAAAATAAAAACCTTTCCTTACAACTTAAGCAATCGTGTCTATGAGTAAAAAATTCGTGTAAAATTAACATCACACATCTTATAAATTAAGTTACGCATTTACGAATGTGTACAGACATACACACACACACATACACACATACACACACACATACATACAAGCGGATTTTTATTATAAACATCACTTTCAGCAGTTAATGGAACCGATTATGTAAGTATACAAAACATGGTCAGCCAAGAATATGTAAGTGCTAAGACAAAGCAAAGTTTCTG